GTAATTTTTGTAAGAAGACAGAAAATTTTGTTCCTTTCCACTGAAGATACATACAAGCATACTGGACCATGTGTAGGTCTCACTCAATAAACCATTTGCGAATTAAATTTGAATAAATTCTGGTGCACTGAGTTATCTGACTGCACATAAACATTACGATTTGAATTCCCCAGACTAAAGACACTTTATATAACAGGTTTTGCCCTTACCCAACGTATATATTATTAATAAACACTGTATGCTCAGTGCTTGTCTGAGAGCTTGCGAAGAAAGTCACAAGCTTACTCGGGTGGGACTTGAACCCACGACCTCCTACTTATTAGTGCAGATGTATTAACCACTCGACCACCGAGCTTGCCGGGGTCGGCTGGCCGGTCTGAGTCAGGTGAAGCAGCGGGTACCGCAAGCTATTTTCAAGATGTATTTTCGCATTGGGGAGATGTTAATTTATATAATGGGTTTTTCCCTTACCCAACGTATATATTATTAATAAACACTGTATGCTCAGTGCTTGTCCGAGAGCTTGCGAAAAAAAGTCACAAGCTTACTCTGGTGGGACTCGAACCCACGACCTCCTGCTTAATAGTGCAGACGTCCTGACTCGGACCGGCCAGCCGACCCCGGCAAGCTTGGTGGTCGTATCTGAGAACAGTGTATTTTTGCAAGGCGTCTCTTATGTAGCTAAGCAAAAGCTTGCCCTGAATCATGAGGTATAGCAACAGTGGTTTTAGTAAGGAGAACTCAAGTTGTTATGTTCATGTGAATTTAAAGAACTTACCCTGGTTGGTGGATCAGATCCTGCAATTGGCTGATCATGATCTGATGGAAACGTGAAAGGTGGATCTGATCCGGCAATTTGACCTGTCAGCATCTGCCCGTGCATGAGTAGCACTAAACTTTTGCGGTCTGACGAACAAAGAAATATGGTTTTTGGTGTGTAGCTCGTGAAATGTTTAACGTGCACAACATGCATAATAAACAACTGCTGAAATACTGGCTAGCAAAATGTGTCATCCCATATGCGCGATGCATGGATGCCGCAATGTGTACCTAGCCCTTTCACAATTTTCGTTGCGCATTCGTCCGTTTCTTAACCTTTTTCATTTGTGTAATTTCACTTGCTTTCCATCAAAAACTAATTCTGTGTTAGCTTATAGCCCGCAGCGTGTAACAGAGTCTCCAAAGCGGAAGCAAAGTTTGAAGAGATAACTAGGCTGAACATTAAGTCTGATTTAAGGTCGTCACGTCAGTAGAACTCCTTACTCAAAACACCGCAAGGGTCACATGCATGCCGCCCCAGCAGGCAACACTGCCACAGAGCGCGCGCTCAGCAAGCTAGCAGAGGTGCAATACCGAACTCATTGGCCTCGCGGGCTTGACATTTCCGTCCAAAAAGGCGGATCAAGGGTAAGTGGGAACGCGACTTTCGGTTTCGTTGCGGTAAGATAACGATTACACCAACATGCCGGATCAAAATCCACCTTTTCCCAATTCAAGTGGGAACGTGCTGTCAGTGTACCAGATTTGGGTCAAAGTTAATTCGCAAAAGGCTAATTGACATCACTTCCTGCAGATTGTCATGTGTATCAACATTTTCGGCACCCACTTTAATTTCCTTGACGCACATCAGCTGTGCCATATTTCAAAGCATTGAGCATACGGTCGAGGAGATTTCAATCAACCAGCGCAAGTTTATAATAGTTTGCTCACCGCACGCCCATGCACATGGTGGTGTTTACACGTACACAGTTGTCCGCGTAATTTTCCTACCAAAATGGCTGTATGTGAGAGGGGTCTATGTACTGCTTTGAGTTTTTGCATGCAATTAGTAAAACATTTTGGAGGGGAAATTTCCCAAACTTTCCAACAGCGTGACATTGCCAGAAAACGTCAAAAAGCAACTGTGCACCATAAGTTGCATTTATACCTATTTGGTCTCAGACTTTAAATTGAGTTGAATACAAACTTAGAAAATTTCGTGTGTTTTTTGATAACCCCTACATTGTTTTCACATAAGAATTACTTGCGTATATCTTATGACATACATGCACATAATGTAAAGTGCATTTTAGACCTACATGTACTTAAGATGAAATTTCAAATTTCAAGCTGTTCATAGGACTCTTAAAAGGAACTTTTTTGACGGTTTACTAGTGTGCATGTACTGGTGTGCATAATATGCGATTTGTGTCTAGGAGTATGCCATAGAAAAAGTGTAATAAGGCACCACAGGGCAGGTGACACGAGTTATTTATAACATTTGTTACCTCCGAAACTCAAGGAAAAAAATCTGCATTCCAGTCGTAGGTGATGAATTGGTTATTGGACTGTGAAATTACCTGCTGCAATTGCATGGAAAATGGGCATTCCTGTCTTCTATGAAATCTAACCTACAGATGTGTTTGTTTTTTTGTGAACAGTGAAAATACTGAGGCCGTATTTTTGTCCAGGCCTTGAAATCTGGTATAAAGTGGTTTGAATGGGATATGATTGGGAAAGTGGGGAAATTTGTCCATCCACTCTGTGGACATTCTTTGTTCCTGTGAGCACACATGTACATATATGGGTGCAGTGTGAAAAATACATGTACTGTATGTACCAGAACATCGTATACATGTTATACATGTAGTCAACTGGTCACACATACCCCCAGTACAAGTGTCGGTGTGAATTGTGCATGGAACTTTCTGATCACATGTGTAGTATACATTGTGCATGTACATGTACTGGTACATGTACGTCACACAAACATGCTTCAAACAAATACAAAATACCATTGTACTGTAGTGATACCATGTACATGGAGATGCGCATCCAGGGTGACCTAGAAATGACAAGCAAAGAATAGATATGTGGGCTAAATAATGACGTACCGGGTACATGTAACATGAATCCACAATGCACCTGACTCTCAATGAGTGCTGTTTCTTTGCAAGTTAGTTCTTTTCTTAACTCCAAGATACATTGTGCATTTATGTTATAAAAAATGTAACCCATCTGTCCTCCCTCCTTTTAGCATTCACTGCAAATGCAGCATCATTCCAGGAGGTTGTTTGATGTCCAAACAAAAAAGGGCATAAATTTCTTTCGGTGGACAAAGTAATGGCCGCCACCCCAAAACAATATGTTGGTGGAGAGCAGAAGCAGGGAGATGGATTTATATGTTTGTCACTGTGAAAGCAAACACAGGATCATGTTCTTTTGAGCAGTGACCGGTGTGCATGATGTGTCCATTTATTTCCCAGCGGATGTTATGCCGTCAGTTCAGTCACGGCAGGAATGAGTTGACTGCTACGAGTATCTGCTATGAGTATCTGCTTCAACAGGCTTGTGTATTCCATAAGGAGCTGATATGCTCCATGGAACTTGTTTTTCCTTTCAGTGGCGTCTCCATTTTGGGCTCCATCTTGTGCCCATCACCTTCAGTTCCAAATGGTTACTTGTGTTGCCACCCAAATGAAAATGTCCCAAGTTTTGGATTTGAATTTTTAAATTTCTGTAGCAGCAAGATGTGTGAGCCCTACAGTCTCAACTCAGATGATTCAGTTCATTGGGTTGCAGACCAAAGCTGAAGTTGGAGACATAGCTGGGGTTTGTAAATTACCTCTGTTGTCGTTGTGGAATCCACATACTGTACCTAGAAAGTGCTTTGCAGTGAGGTATAAGGCAAATCTGTGTTCCCCCGAGACAGGGTCTCGCTTTAGCAACAGTAAACCCCAACTTCCTAGCCTGTTTGCCTTCGCCAGCCTTCAGCATGATCCCTTTCGTTGGAATACAATGGCCATGTTCTTTTCTTTGTAATAAAAATGCAACTCGTGAACAGAAGCCCACATTATGTATGACCACAGTTATGTATATTGTCAGCAGAGCACTTTACATGTACATACTAGTACAATGTACAGTAACTGAAGTCTCCATGGGCCTGTTGGTGGTTCACAGCTGTTGAGAGGGGAAACAAGGAGCTTGCTACATGTCAGCACCACGAGAGAAAAAGTTTATGCACCATGCTCTTGAAGGAGAGACCACTACTACTGTTTTCAATTTCTCCACTATGTACACCCTCTTGGAGTCCTGTTCCAGACATGGACTGCAGCATGGTGTGAATGAAAGTTTTACCTGTGGAGTCCAAGAGACTGGCATTGTGAGTACTTGTGTGGTCATCGACAAGCTGGAGCCTGTTGAGCATCGAAGCTGATAAGACTGTGGGAGCAAAGCCTTCAAGTCTGCTGGACCACAGAGCATGGCTGGACAAAGAGTCCCATGCATCTTGCAAAGTTGCAGTGATACACGTGTAAAAGCTGCTGCAGTTATCTTGTTGTAACAGTTCTCTTGTAGAAATTGGCCCCTACGGTAGTTCATCAGGTTCATTGCACTGCTTAACAGTTACATAGCAGTAAAGTTGTGCTTACCATCGCAGAAAAAAAATTTGCCAAGCATTATTTCATGGCATGGTTGTGCTGACCGTGTCACACGCCCATGGAGATTGCCATCGTTATGTCACTAAGTTAAGCAAACTTACACAATGTAGCCTCTTTAAAAAAGATATTCAAACATGTCTTTTGCTGCTTACCATCTCCGTGAAATATGCAAAGCCAGATCTAAGCGTAAAATCATGTGCTTAGCAGTATCATGGCATTGGGCCTGTTGGGCAGCCACTTGACAGCACAGTAGCCGACATTTTCTTTGTTCATTCCTTAATTTTCATTGGGCATGAAGTTTTAGTACTTAAAGCTTGTACTTCAATGTTGTACATGAACGTTGACATGTTAGTTTTGTAGTCAAGTCCTTTATCAGTCCGTGCATGTCGCTTTAAAGTCCATTAGAAGTCATTCAGTCTGAAGCCCATTCACAAGCTTTTCAAATGAACTGTGACAAAAGCATTCTTTTGTCGTTGTTCACCCTGTTACCTATGACTGGTCTTGTGTAGGGATTTGTGATTGGGCTTGTGAAAGGAATTGTGATGGACTCGATTACAACACTCAGGTACTAGTACATGTACATGTACCTCGTTTCTGCAAAGTCCTCTACCACCTCCTGGTGGATTTAGAAAGAGCCCCTACAGTAAATGGTTGTCAACAGTGTGAACCATGCTGTTTTCTTTTGATGTTGGATTTTCACCAGGCTGCCTTTGTGCTGCTCAGTTTCTCAACATGTTGGTTTCCTTTCTTTCTGACCCAGCCATCATACATGTACATGTACTGTAAGCATGCATGTCTTTTCTCCCTTGCAAGTATACATGTACATGTACACGTGTACTGGTCTACATGTAGAATACATGTACTGTACTATGCTTTGTAGACTCTTATTGGCTATGCATGACTTCATCTGGTGGCATGGCAGCTTGTTACTTGGGTCTGAAGGAGCAACTCTGTAGCTTGCAGGCCTTTACATGGTCTGATCTGCCAGATGCTTGCTTATTTATCCGCCATTGTCAATCCCTGTCCCTCATTGCACAATGCGGCCCTGTTGTGGGGCTAAATCTTTTTTAAGTGTTTTCTTTGGCCTGTCAAGGCTGCAACAAAGCCCTGGTTAAACACTCCAACGGACGCGCTTATGCTGATTAAGCTTTCTGGGGTTGCACACGCACGGAGACCACATCTTGCAACATATTGGTAGCTATGAGGTACAAGTTTATTCATACATGTATAGGAAGTTACTGGTAAATCAGTACCCACTTGACTTTCAAGCTGATGTCGATTGGTGTTCTTTGTGTTGTCGTTGGCCGTTATGTTTTTTTGAACAACCTGAAAATGTCTCCTGCATTGCTCTTGGTACAGTATACTTGGCCTGAAGTGGAGCATGTCCCCACTAACTGATGCTAAGGCTCATCATCCCATCGGCGGCATTGTGTGGCGGAGGAATGCTATGCAGAACTTCCAGGGTCACCCTTGCTGGCTTTTAACTTTTTAAAGGCAGGCTTACTGGTGCTTGAGCTCCTGTTCCACATGCACAGTGGGGGCAGGTGTACTTGTTGGAACTGGATGAATTGTATTGAAACTGGTTACATGTGCATCTACGTGTACCACTTGGCATCCTGATCGGAATTGTCCCTGGCATCATTAAATTGGAACATTTCGCTGGATTTATTTTGCAAAATTACCAGTACATGTGGCGTGCAGGCAGCAAAAACAAGGTGTTTCAGTCCGAGTATGTCGTAAGTTAACATATTTTTCCATTTTACATGTATCTATTAATGTACCGTTATACTCGGTGAATCTTAAAGTTGCTGCGCATGTCCATACATTGTACATGCAAGTATTTTGTAGCCATTGACTGTACCATAAATTAATGCCCACATCTGCACAGGTAGAGCAAGGGTGGTTTACAGTTTAACGCTGTATATTAATGATTTAGTCAGAAGAAAAAAATAAACCCACAAGAACAAACCGAAAAGAAGATTGAGAGAATTGTGGTCAGAAGATGCAATGTACACATTGGAAACTGCTGATTCAGTGTCATTTACAGTAACTAGGTATTAATCCTTTGCTGATTGAGGTTGCATGATGTACTGTACAGGCCTAGAGTTTCTGAGGAGGGCATGCTAGCCTACAGTGTACCTGTACATGTAGGCCAAATAGTACAGGTGCATTTCCCTGGCTGTTAATGGGCAGTGAACAATACATCTACTTTACCTTCTGTTTTGTCAGCTTCAGTTACCGGTATGTTTAGGAGGTACATGTACATGAATATCTTTTGTCCGACAGTTACATGTACATGTACCTACCTCCTTAGTACTTCCTCTCCAATAAAGTACATGTACATGTACACTCAAGAATGCTAGAGTGAGTTGACGTACAGGTTGAAATATTATTCTTATTGTGTGACTGGGTTGTGCAAGAAGGTACATGTATAGCAAATGTACATACATGTACCACTATGTGCATATATGGCACTTACACACATTTACATGTACCGGGTATATACATGTACATGTGCCTATGTGTGCAGTGTCTTGAATGGCACTTCGGAAATACAGAAAAACATCCGGGTTCGTTTATATTGTACCGGTAAACGTATGCCCACCCACCCCAATCCCTTTGAATAAGTGCAAATGGAAGTACATGTAAGCAGTACCTCAAGAAAAGTAATGACGCATCCAGTGTATTTGACAAGATTTGCTCCCAGAGACACACGGTTCCCCTGAAAACAAGTAGTGGAGCTACATGTACATGTATGCTTACCACTTACCAGTACATGCATGGTGGATGTACATGTACTTTTGTACAGTTATTAGCTACAGACATCCCTTTCTGTTGCCGTTCAACACTAATGAAAGGCTTTAGATTTTGTACATGTACATGTACATTTCTCCCTTGTGGATGTTGATTTTGGAGGCAGTACCTGACCTGATGTCGTAACTACTGGGATTCCATCCTTTGAAACCTTTTTCCTGGGCTGTATTGTTGGGATTGAGTGGAAATCATTTTATTTAAGGCCAATTTTGTATATTACACACGAGAAGTTGAGAACCAGTACCTTATTTACATACACAGTGCATACATGTATGGTGTGTGATGAAGTTCTACCGAGTTATTTGAAGAGGTTGTCAAGCTTGTCTCTCGTCACACTTGAAATTGGAAATCTTGGACTGCTGGCTTGCAGTTTTTACAGTACCGTAAGTTTGCATCAAACCCTGAAACCTTTTTTGGTACTTGCGTACATGTACGGTACCTGTACTGGTGTACTGTACGTGTGCATTTGTGTGCAGTGTAAAGTGCAGTGTAAAGTGGCGATTAAAAAAACATCCTGAGCTGAACTTTCCCAAAAATGCAGATAAATTTGCTGTCTTCAAGAAAATACATGTATAACAGTACATGTACTAGTATGTACATTACCGTTTTTGATGATATGGCATTTTACATGTATATCCAAGCAAGAATTCGGTTGAATCATAGAGGAAATAGATCAGTGAACTTGCCCTAGGCATGAACCATTCTTGGTGGATGTGCATGTGCAGTATAAAGTTTCTGTGTAATTTTGGAACAAATTCTTAAAGCTTTATTACAGAGGAAGTTTCCTATTAACCACCAGCTCCTGGAAAGCTGATATGGGTACTTCCTGTGATAAGATCACCTCAATGATTAATTGATTCTACATATAGATCCACACAGGTGAATGGGCTGCAGTCTATGACATGGAAAAATTTTTGTTGTCCCTAGCCAGTTCGCGCAACCTCACTACATTATAGTAACTCGGTACTGTTTGTTGTAAAGCTGGTGTGAACCTAAAAGTATCCTGGCCACTAATAATGAGACATGTACATAGTGTACATGTACATACATGTATGATGTCATGTCTGATGGATGCACCTGTTTTACCCTGTCACTATCACTGTATCAGATTGGTCCCCTTGTGTTGAGGCTGCTGGAAAAACTTGGATCTGGCAGGCCTCATACTGGTACATGTACATGTACTTGCGTGGGATTCAGGAGGGTGTCCAGTGAAAACTGAAGAGGTACATGGGATGAAAGTGACATGAAAGAAAAAAATTTATGTATGTTACACAGTTGATCCACTTGCACATGTAATGATACAAGGTACTGATATTCATTGGAAGTTGGTCAACCAGTGTCAAATGACTCCCTCTTTTGCATAGAATGATGCCCATAGTTGGTACATGTACTGGTGCAGTGTACATGTATGTACTGTACTTGCGATCATAGTGGCTCAAGAGTTAGGAGCTGGAGGAGACTAGTTTAAGCACCAAACCAATGCATGAAGAAAGACTACACGGCAAACCGCACACATGCACCACACTTGCGCTGGCACGCACAGTCCACGACACACACAGCTCGGTTACTACATGCGCATGCATGGTTAATTCAGGTGTGCGTGCGGTTTGGTGTGTAGTCTTTCTTTGTGCATTGTTTGGTGCTTAAACAAGTCTCTTCTAGCTCCTCGCTCTTGAGCGACTAGGCAACAGCGCCTTGATAAAAGGCTAGCTTTCTGCCATCATTAACTATTGATCACCATGACACTGTGGTTTGTTTTTGCCTGCATCCTGCATGCAATGTATGGCTGTTTTTTAAAAGACAAGTTACTAAAGGCTATGGTTGGCATGACAAAGGGATACTTGTGATCACTCACACTAGTTGGGGTCGTAGTTGGACATGAACAATGGAGCCAGCTCTGGATGCCAGTTTTTGTCAATATGACAGTGCACGATTCTGACCCGCATTTGGCAAATAGGGATAAAGTATACAGTGCAATCGAATGATTGATGTTACCACTGTGGAACTTGAGGGGTGAAGTGCTGTCTGCCTCTCTGGCTGTGGCCACCATGGCATGGGAATGCGCAAGGGAAGCGGTTGTGTTGGGAAGTACTGGAATGATGAAGAAAATTGTTTCCTTTTTTTTATTGAACCGCACTTGATATTCCGGTAGGAGCATCTACTTGTACTGTCATAAATATACACACTGTAATCTAATCATGTTGTTTACTACCCCTGGCATTGAAAAAGTGAGTTCTGCTTCATTGGAGCGCTGATAATCAGCACAATAGCAGATAGTGTAATTCCTTTTGGAATGCCTTAAGCTCCTCTTTGAGTTTGGACTCCCATACCAGTAGCCCCTATTGTGTTTTGCCCCATCATAGCGTCACGGTGATTTGCAGTTCTGCTGAGGTAGCGACTGGCATGCCAGTCCCAACCTTGTGTAGAGGAATGTCATGTATGGTAAGTTTTGAACTTGAAAAGTTTGGCAGATCGTCCATGCAGGTTTGGAATGTTCCTCATATTTGTGCCAGCAGTACACGTACACTGGGGTGCTTATACCCTGTGCGAGGCACTTGTAATGTACATGTTAGCCCAGATGGACTCCCTGACCGTATTACATTATGGAGGGAGTCCAGGATATGAAGGTGCAAAATCGGGCGAAAAATTTTGTAACTAAAATTGTCAACACATCTACCTTTTCCAAGGAGCCAATGTCTGTAACTCCTATGCATCCTTATCTCCACAGCTGGTGGGATAAGATATTCGGCACATCACCACCAAAGACAAAAACGGGAAAATAAAGTTGGATGTAACATTAATTCTGGCCATTGTTAAGGACTGTTTTCAGCCATTCTCCAGTGTAGTTCATATGGTGTGTGCACGCAACTACCTGGTGCATGAGATTCCGAACTGCGTACACCCACATTGAAACTACATGTTCTGACTGGAACCAGCGAAACTAAAGTCTAACAGAATCCACTGTTTTCGATGCTCACATAAAGCACGTAATGCACAACTTGGTTCTTAGCCTCGAGTACCATTGATCTCCATGCTGAGTACACACAACATTGGGCCGGGGTGAGGCTGTGGCGTGCGTTGGTGACAGTTGGCCTAGTTACCTGCATGCAAGCTGAGTCTCCTGCGGCCAGTACGGGAAAGCTAAAGTTCATGATTTGTACAAATCCTGGTCTTTGGTTTAGCATGTATTATGTGTTAAGAGGTGGACTTAAATAGACAGACAAAAGGTGTCCCCAAAGTTTGATAGAAGTTAAGGGACTCCCGGCAGTTCCGTGTCGAGGGAATAGAGTACCACCCAGCAAGGCGTTGGCACATTTCTGTTGCTTAGTGATTTACTCATATCATTGATTTGTCCCATTTTAAAAGTTATACCGAATACATTAGACTGAAT